CCTAGATGACGTTCAGTGGTATGGAATATGCGTTACTAAACTTCTCTTGCCTGGCTTTCCCGGTGAGACCGATATAGTGGTGAACAGAGCGGAAGTATAGCACGTTTGAAATTTTGACAAATCTCCATCTGGAAGTTTTCGCTTTCCAATTCGTCTTGGAAGGGTATTCTAAAGAGACTGAATGTGAAATCTTTACTCTGTTCCATCACTTATTTGATCGCTGTCATCAAGACAGATTCCTTTGGCAGACGGTCCTGACTCGCAGTCATGGACGCTATCCAGCTACCGCTTGCCTCTTGTATGCCGTTTCTCATTTGACAAAGGCGGATTTACTGTACTAACAACACTGAGGAGGATACTTGATTAGTCCATCTGCATGTAATCTAAAAGGCTAACAAGTGCCCACTTTATCAGAATCTGTCCTGTCGCTGATATTCGCGTCAAAAATATCGCTAGAAACTTGCTTTTGACGAAATTTTCTGCTAATGAACTCGGTCTATGTTCCATTTTTGCCACCGTGGCCTTGGATCATTACCTGTTTCGACAACTGGATGCCGTCCAGCCACCCCCGCATTTTGTGAGCCGTTTTCCTTTGTCAGAGGCGGATTTACTTGAATCGATTCTTGGGATCCGCTCCGTGTGGTTGAACTGATCAGTGGATCTTCAGTTATCCTTTTGTTTGTCTGCTCTTTCGCAAAGATCCTGTTGTTATATCCTTGGAGTCCACTTCGGCTTTGTGACTTGATGAGTCCATTTCAGTACACTCATGTCTCACTTGGTCTTCCCGACTGCTGCTCTCGTCGATTGCATAGCATGTCACCGTAAACCGATTCACATCTTTGCTGCTTATCTATTACATCCAATTCTTTCTCTGAACCCTCTCTGTCGCGATGGTTGTCTGGCGCTGCTTAAACTCGCTGTGTCCTCTTTCCGACGACTCTGTGGTCATGTGTGGCAAAGCGGGGTGTCTAGAAGCGGTTACAGATTCGTCCGGGGGCATGCAGTGCGATATCTGTAACCGTTGGTTCCATAAGGCCTGTACTGGCTTGTATCGTAGACAGTATGCTCTTCTGTCCACTAGCGAGAGTTTACTCTACCGTAGTGACTATTGTATGCGCAGGACTGAGTGTTACATGCCAGTAAAGAACAGTTATGTTTCTCTGGAAGTTTGCTGTCTCTGATTGCCTAGCTAGACAGGAAAGTTGTATGGATTGTGAAGGGCCTAGAACGCTCAGGTCTTCTCTGTCAGGAGACAGTAGAAGACATTGGCAAGTTGTCAGATCCTGCATCTGTTTGTTCACTGTCAAATATTAGTTTACCTGTTAACAACGACCCTATTAGTAATGAACCCTCAGATATCATGTTTGATTCGGCTGTTAGCGAAGGAGAGCAGCAGACTTCTGCCCATGTCAAAAGAAAACGAAAGGTTGTTAAAAATGGCGACAACCCAAGGCAGACGTGAGGGTTCCTTCGGATGCCCTATCCCCACTCCCCATAAATTCTACTACTACTGAATCGTTACAGCTGGAATCGTCTACGACATTAGAGTCTATAAAAACGGACGCTAAACTGGAACGACCGACGTCCACGGAGCGTTCGGTAAATACTCCGCGCCGCGGATACTCGTATACCGACCGCAGTGTTATTTTCAGAAACGTCACTGAGTCATCTGCTGTTCTCCCAAAAGACCATATGCTAGATGACCTTCAGTGGTTTAGAATATGCGTTACCAAACTCCTGCCGCCCGGCTTCCCCGGCGTGACTGTGCGCAAACTAACCAGACTCGGTAACTTGCCAGCTGACAAGTCTCGCCCTCGCTTGTTGCGAGTTGTTCTGTCCACTCCGGAGGAGCGCCAAGCACTTCTGCGTTTCGCCTTTAAGCTCAAGGGCACTGGTGTCATTGTGCACCCAGACCTCCCTTTGGCGGATAGGCTGAAATTGCGGGAAGCTGTGAGAGATCTTAAAGCCCGCCGTGAAGCAGGAGAGCAAGATCTCCGCTTGGTGGGTTTTCGGGTGGTGAGCCGGCGGTCCACTTCCGCCCTACCAGAGCCGGTTCTGGTGGCGCACGATCCCGGACTCACAATGCTAAATCCCTTCAGGTGATCTTAAGCAATGTGCGTAGCCTGCGAAACAAGCTGTGCGAAGTCGGCGCCCTTGTCGACGACTGCCGTCCAGATGTTCTCGCATTCACTGAAACGTGATTGTCCACCGACGTCACGGACAGTGAAGTGTGCTTGCCAGGCTACGCACTGCTGAGATGTGACCGCACCTCTGATCGGCGCGGAGGTGGCGTTGCTTTGTACGTTAACTCCGCACTTACTGTCTTTAAGACGTATAGTTTCCGATCACCAGACGGTGATGTTGAGGCACTCGCAGTTAACCTGTGTATTGCCTCCGCGCAACTTAAAGTTGTGCTGGTCTATAGAAGCCCCGACAGCGTTGCTAAGGGTCTCGTTGATTTCATCCGTGAACATTCGGCAAATAGGTGTTTAGTGATGGGGACTTTAATCTTCCCGACGTTGACTGGCAGAATTTTTCCTGCGACGCTGTTACAAGGTGTTTGGCTACCGAGCTTCTCGAGCTGGCCTTGCATGCTTCCCTGCACCAGTTTGTCGATCGACCTACTAGATTCATGATGGGTCAAAACCCGTCCCTCTTGGACTTGATCTTCGCTAAATCCATTGATTTTGTCACGGATATTGTATACAACCCACCTCTCGGTGCTAGCGACCACGCATGTCTCTCATTTAAGTGCGCCCTTAGTCGTCAGACTAATGATCGTCCCGACCGAGTTCCAAACATATGGCGCGCGGACTTTCAGACAATGAAAGCCAAGGCCGCAAAGTCGCCTTGTGTCATTTTGGAAAATGACAACATTCAAACGGCCTGGAACAGATTTAAATGATACTTAAATAAGCTCTCTCCCCCCATATACCACTGTCTGGCAGGAATAAAACTAGGGCAAAGCCACCCTGGTTTGATTCTGCTGTATGCAAACAACTTAACAGACGTGCCAGATCTTGGTGTACTTACTTATCTGCTCCTACATCATGCACCTTCAAGCGATATCGTGAGGCTCGAAATTCCTGCAGATGCTCGTCTACAGCATGAAGTACAGCTTGCTCGTATAGCCTCATCAAACCCTAAACGCTTGTTCGCGTTTGTCAAAAGGCGAAGCAACATGGACTCGTGCATTCCAGTGTTGTTTGGCTATGACGGCACTGCTGCTGTCACAGATCACGGGAAAGCTTGTTTGCTCGGAGGACAGTATGCTGGGGTTTCTGTTCGAGAGTCACATCCGCCGCATATCAGCCTGCAGGCAATAGATCCTGAGGGCTCCCACTTGGAGGATATTTCCATAACGGAGACTCACATGCTCCGGCTTCTGAGGAAATTAAATCCTATTATTAAAGCTGCCGGTGGGGATGCTATTCATCCAGTACTGTTGTACAAGCTGGCTGATGAACCTTGCCGTCCGATTACACAACCTTTTGTGAAATCAGTACGCCGCTGCTTTCTACCCATTCACTGGAAGGAGGCTATTGTTTGTCCCATTTTAAAAAAATGGTGATAAACACCCTGATAACTATAGACCGGTCAGTTTGACGAGCGCCTTGCTTAAGATGTTGGAAAAGCTCGTGAGGGACGCTCTCGAAGGACACTTGCGAGCGTTTGAGTTGCTTAATCCTCCTCAGCACGGCTTTCTTAACGGCTATTCTTGCCTTACTAACTTGTTAACAGCTCGTGAACATTGGGCCGAAGCCGTTGATTGCGGGAGGGCAGTGGACGTGCTGTTCCTTGACTTTTTCAAAGCTTTTGACACCGTTCTACACTCGCGCCTTTTTACAAGCTGAATTCCTATGGTATTTCTGGACCATTTTGACGATGGATTTCAGCTTACCTAATCAGAAGGGAAATATGTGTACAAGGAGGTTCAAGCCTCTCCATCCGCCATTGTGTTCTCAGTGGCATTCCGCAAGGTTCAGTCCTTGGCCCTTTCTTGTTCACTTCTACGTTAATGATCTACCCGATGAATTGGGTGTGCCATCCCTAATGTTTGCGGATGACTTGAAACTGGTTCACGATAGACGATCCGATTAGTCCACTGACCTTACAGTGGGCTCTGGATAGACTTTGGGACTGGTCCCTTTTGTGGCAGTGACCAGTTAATTTAGCGAAATGTTCATTTTTACGCGTTACTCTGAATGACCCGCCGCCGCCTGATTTGCTTGTCAGCAACGACGTACCGCGAGTTCAACTCCACTCTGACCTCGGAGTTTTGCTATCATCAGACTTCAAGTCCAGTGAGTACTGGATGACAGCTGCTCGCAAAGGTTTCAGCATGTTGCGGATGATCCGCAGGTCATTCGAGATCATGACCACCGAAATGTTCGTCAGACTATTTTCGGCCGTGGAATAATGCGTTCAGGCTTATCCTCCATGCCTGGTTCGTGATAAGATGGCAGTTGAACGGGTCCTGCGACCCGGGATGAAAATGATGCACGGATTAAAGAAGCTGACGTACCCGGAGAGGCTACGTAAGTTCGATATATTTTCCATGTATTACAGGCGGTTTCGGGGCGACTTGGTCCTCACATATCGTATACTGATGGGGCAGATTGGTCCTGATTTGACTGGACTGTTTCGCCCAACTCGAACGCCAACCCTTCGTGGCAACCCAATAAAGTTACACAAACCCCGGTCTGACCGGGTTTGGGCAGCTTTTCCGTTATCGCGTAGGGTCATAGCCTATTGGAACGCACTGCCTGCAGACGTCATGATGGCACTGACGGTGAAAGATTTCGAGCATCGACTTGACCCTTTCGGTCTACAGCTTAAAGCCTTCCCCTTCATGTCTTAAACTCTTGTTCGTCTACTACGGCCTACGCTCCTTTAACTCATTTTAACTTACATCCTAATATTGCCTACCAATTCCATAAGCTTATCTCCTCTGTTTCCTTTACTGAGACCACTGTTTTCTTTTATTCTTTACGTGGTCAGCACAACGGGGACTGCTAGTGCAGGACACGTGGGCATTATTTGATTGATTATATGAATCGTGTGTGTTGACCTGTGTTGACCTCACCTCCATCCTTAAATAGTGCAGGCAGGACGGAATGCGGGCTATGATCGCGTTTCTGACCTCGGCCTCCGACGGAAGCTCTAAACTAATCGTATATGGCTCGTGCTGCATCGCCTGAGTAGGAAGAGGTCCAAGAACATGGTGTCAGCCGAACTTATCTTGAAAGTGTTACGTCCAACGAGCCATACGGCGCTCCTTACTGTGTATCAGTGCACCCGCGCTGTCTCTGATTGTCTCACGCCACTTTTCCTGGGACCAGTGGTGCGGCTCATCTTGAGCAGCATACAGTAATTGGAAAAGCACAATTAGAAGACGAAGTTCGGCCGATGCATTCATTTCGTATCGTCTCATCAGTGCCGATAAGCGTAACCGGTAATTTATACAACAGTTTGTGGGTACGGATATACCTACAAACAAACAAAGTGAGTGTCTTTCGACCACAACCACGGCATTCTGAGGCTGATTAATAATTGTTTTTGCACACAAAGCACTGGCTTAATCCGATTGATGGCAACAGCCTCGGCAAACCGGAGCAGGGAATTGGTATGGCAAAGCAGAATCTTAAAAATCTTGTTGACCTCAATTCGGTGGCCCGATGTAAATAAGTGTCTGCTGATCGAAGATGCCGGTGGTCTGCGCACAGAGGTAGTCTGATGTAGGCTTGTTTGCTGAATAACCCCGTCGCAACGAGACTGGACCTTAACGTGGTGCGACGGTTTGCGTACCTCATTGACCCATTGAGCTATACTGGGTGATGCCTCCGAGCATCTTGAGAGTTACTCCTACCAGGTTGGTCAATGGTGAGAGGTCAGACAAACTCAGTCTCCTGGTCCTCCAGGTTGGGGGTTTGAAATGGGATGGCGTCCATTTCTGTAAAACTAAATCACTGCCACCCCGCTGCCTTGCGGACAGGCTTTTGAGCCAAAGGCTTTGGATGAGGACCCTAATCGTCCTCCTGTCTAGGTCTGGGCGCCCTGGCAGTATCTCAGCCCACATGCAACCATGACATTTTCTTCAAACATAAACTTCATCCTGCATCGGCCGTCGCGCAGATTATCAAGGGTCGCCTTATCTGCTGCATACAGCGAAAACATGCTACTGCTGGCGCCTCCCTTCTTTCTTTTCCACCTTTTTCTCTTACCCCCATCCCGGCCTCCATTACTAACCGTCCTTCTATAATTCCCAGCTTAATTGACAGCAACCGCAGTGCTACTGGAGTAATACCATCTGCAGCCACCATCCCAAAGCACCTATCGGACGCCTATCAGCAAAAGTCCCTTATAAGGCCACGCTGTCCCGTTTCCATGGCGACATTCAACGTCCGCACTCTAAGACAAACAGGTCAGCAGGCTGCACTCGCACGCACATTGGACACACTGGGTGTTGATGTGTGTTGTGTGTCCGAAACTAGGATTAATGACCCTAACGGGGTTACTGAATTGACTGCACCCGGCTTATCCTCTCGTTATTGGTTGCACGCATCCGGAGACGCTGATGCGGCACTCACGGGTCAAGCTGGTGTAGGTATCATTCTCAGCTCCAAGGCTGAGTCATCGTTGGTTGATTGGATTCCGGTGAACAGCCGTTTATGTGCAGCCCGTTTGACGACATCAGCTAAGGTGAATTCACGAAGTAAAACAAAACGCTGTTTGTTTGTGATTTCCGCTTATGCTCCCACCGACTGCAGTTCTAATGCAGTCAAGGACACTTTCTATCACGAACTGAACGCGCTACTACGCAGTGCTACTAGTTCAGATATTATAGTACTTGTAGGGGATATGAACGCACAAGTAGGGCGTCTGAGCTCTTCAGAAGCTCAGCTGGGTGGTAATTATGGACTTAACTCCGAACGGACTGACAACGGTGAGCGTCTGCTGCAACTATGTGCGGAGCACCAGTTGTTTCTTAGTAGCACTGCTTTTAGACACAGTGGGCGCCGAAGTGCCACTTGGCGTCCACCTGTAGCTGGTCAGCGATGGACCCAAATTGACCACATTGCCATAAGTTACAGGTGGCGCGGTTCCATTCTGGATTGCCGCTCGTACTGGAGTACCTGTGTCGACTCTGATCATGCCTTGGTGCGCTGTCGTTTCTCCATGAACTTTACCGGAAGGCGCACAAAGCGTATCCTCCGATTGGCAACGGAGAAATTGTCCCAGCCCTCGGTCAGGCAAGCCTATCAAGACACACTGCATACCGAACTCTCGCTGTCTTGTCCTAATGACACTGAACTTCAGTGGAATAAGATCTCGGCTGCCATGCACGACGCAGGAGCATCTGCTTGTGACACTGTCCATCGTCACCGCACTAGTCACTGGATATCCGAGAGGTCGGTGAACCTGTTGGAAGCTAGAAGACACCTCCCGGCTGGTTCTGAACACAATGTGACCAGACGGGCTATTAGGCGTGAACTAAAGCGGAGCCTACGTGCTGACAAGGAAGCCTGATGGACCAGTCGGGCTCAAGAAATGAAGGAGGCAGGAGCAATAGGCAATTACCGGAGGCTTTTCCAGCTAATCCGCACCACTGGTCCCAGAAAACCAGGCATCAGTGAGACAATCCAAGACAGCGCGGGTACGCTGATACACAGTAAGGAGGGCCGTATGGTTCGTTGGGCTGAACACTTTGAAGCTCAGTTCAGTTGGCCCCCTGCTCCCGGACCTCTTCCTGCTCAAGTGATGCAGGACGTGCCATGGACGGTTAGTCTAGAGCCTCCCTCAGAGGCCGAGGTCCGAAACGCGATCACAGCCCTCAATCGTTTTCGTGCCGCTGGCCCGGATTCCCTCCCACCTGCACTATTTAAGGATGGAGGTGAGGTCCTCTGCAGGGCACTGACCTCCCTATTCGAACGTATCTGGAACGAAGAGAGTGTGCCGGCTAATTGGAGCGAATCGATTATAGTGGCAATATACAAGAAGGGCAGTCGCACAGACTGTTCTAACCACAGGGGTATTAGCCTAACGCCAGTTGTGACAAAATTACTGGCCTCGATTATCGTTCGTCGCCTCACTGCAGAATGGGAATCCCGGATTAGGGAAGAGCAGGCCGGTTTTCGCCCAGGACGTGGCTGTATAGACCATATATTTACTTTGCGGCAGGTGCTAGAGCGGCGCCACGCATACCGCAGACCGACAATAGCTGTGTTCCTCGATTTCAAGAGTGCGTTCGATTCAGTCGATCGATCGATTCTGTTCGAATTACTTGCGCGGAAAGGTGTTCCCACGAAATATGTGAACATCCTTCGTGCTCTATACTCGAACACTACAGGCCGCGTCAGGGTCTATGGTGTCCTATCGGATAGCTTTTCGACTACAAGTGGCGTTCGTCAGGGTTGTCCGATTTCCCCCTTTTTGTTCAATTTCGTCGTGGATTCTATCATGGAGTGTTCCCTGACGGAATCCAACGATGTAGGCGTTGAAATGCTACCTGGTGAAAGGTTAGTTGATCTAGATTATGCGGACGATATCGTCTTACTTTTCGACGATGTTGCGGCGGCACAATCAACCCTGAATAGCCTGTCCAGAGTGGTCCCATTATTTGGCATGCACTTCGCACCTTCAAAGTGCAAAGTGTTACTGCAGGACCACCAGCCACTTGATGACCCCTTGACGCTTGCTAACGAGGAACTCGAGGTGGTTGATCATTTCACTTATCTTGGCAGCTGCGTCAGCAATGATGGGCGCATAGAAACTGACGTGAGCTCACGCATTGTAAAGGCCAGAGCTGCCTTCTTGAACCTACGGCATCTTTGGCGACAGAAGGGAGTTTCCCTCCGTCTGAAAGGCCGTGTATACAAGGCCACAGTGAGGGCCGTTCTTCTCTATGGTAGTGAAACTTGGCCCCTTCGGTCTGAAGATCTGAGGCGCCTTCAAGTCTTTGATCATCGTTGTTTGCAAAGCATTGCCGGTGTCGGATGGCACCAGCGTTTCCGCAACGATGATGTGCGTAGGCGAGTACTAGGTAATGATAATCATGCTAGCACCCTAGAACAACAGATAGCACTGAATAAGTTGCGTTGGCTCGAGCACGTGCTACGCATGTCTGGTCACCGCTTACCTAGGAGGGCCTTGTTCAGTCTACCTGGTGTAGGATGGCGCAAGGTTCGCGGTGGACAGAAGTTGACTTGGCAGCGGGAAATGAAGTCACTGACAACCAAACTGGGTGCCGTTGGTCCGTCTCGCCTTCCGGGTTGGAGTCCACGTGACTCGCCTTGTGCTTGGCTCGAGACTTTGCAGGACATGGCTCGCAACCGACACCACTGACGCGTCTGCTGCCGTCTCCTAATCGGATTGCCTGTTTAAGGTGTGTTCTGTGCTGTGTTATCTGCGGGGTAATGGCTGATTATGACGCGGGGCAGTGAAAGCCGCAAGGAAGCTGTCTCGCCGATGCCGCCTTATCTTTGCACGATAGCCAGCTGTTTGTGACGGTATGTTGTTAACACAAGGTATAGGCGCCTTGACCCTGAATGTTTGCTTAGGGCATTAAGGTTTTCAGGTGCTACGTGTACCTGGTTGCCGCTTAACTATGGGGGTCTTATTAGTCTGTCAGGTTTAGGGTGGCGCAAGGCTCGAGGTGGACAGAAGTTGACTTGCCAGTAGGAAATGAAGTTACCTACGACCATAGTGGGTGACGTTGGTCCGGCTCGTCTTTTGGGCTGGTGTCCACTTGACTCGCCTTGTGCTTGGCTCGAGATTTTACAGTACGTGATTCGCAACCGACACCAATGGCGTGTCTGCCGTCGTCTCCTAGTTGGATTGCTTGTTTGATGTATGTTCTGTGCTGAGTTATCTGCGGGGTAATGGCTGATTATGACGCGGAGCAGTAATAGACGCAAAGAAGTTCTCGCTGATGCCACCATATCCTTGCACGATAGCCAGCTGTTTGCGACGTTATGTTGTATGCACAAGGTGTAGGCTTCTTGACCCTGAAGGTTTGCTTAGGGCATTACGGTTTTCAGGTAAATCCCCTTTCTGTTCTTATTATTCTTTATTCTATAGGTCCTCATGGTTGTATAGCAGTGAAGCATCAGTTCTAGTGGCTGCTATCTGCTGTTGCTTGATTGATTGCAATTTCGTTTTACGTACCGACCACCAATAATTGATCTGGCTTCAAAAGGTTGGGATCCCCGAATCGCCGGCTGGCAGGACCGATTGCAGGATTTCGTCTTTGAAACCACTGGAATGCCGACGCCTTACCCCGTGGGCCTGTCAGGAATCACGGGTCATGCCCAGCGTACACAGCTACTTGCGTAATTATCGTCATTCGCGACGCCCCGGAGACGAAGGAATGGATTCAGTTGCAGTCGACGAACCCGTAACTGAGTCTCTTGTATGATTGGATCGTTCCGGATAAAGACCGAGCAGCGCATCCGGAACTGGCGATCGCCATTTGGGAAACCAAATGCCTGTGATCCCTATAGTGGCATTTAAAGGTGGTCGACGACATCATATATTTCCAAAATGTACAGGCTGGTTTGCGATGAATTGTGCTGACCTCTGCAACGCATGAAATGTTGCGAAGGATCCACGATGGGTTAGAACATGTAGGACAGAATGATATGGAGGCTGCAATTCGACATCGGTTCTGGTGGCCCCATCTAAGGCGTTACATCGCTATATACTGCCAGTCATGTGCTGACTGCGCAAGTATCAAATACCTCACAATCATTCGTCGTGCCCGCTGCAACCAATGACGAATGACGTCGTAGTACCGTCATCATTGGCCCAATGCCAGTGACTGCTAGAGGCCATCGTTATGTTTTCGTGATGGTGGACTACTTTACCAAAAGGTATGAAACAGTTCCCCTCCAAAATGTGGACGCATAGAGTTCGGCAGTAGCTTTTTTCAGCAATTGTTTGGCAAGGTGGGGATCACCCTATCAGTTGCAATCAGACTACGGAGCCAACTTCGAGAGCACACTCATGAGCGGATGTGCCACATTTTCGGCACTCGGAAGACACGCATGACTGCCTGCATCGTAGAGGGAAATGGATTAATTGAATGCACGAACCGCACGATGAAAGCGCTATTGCAGGCTTTTCTAATCATAGAGACTCCTCGGGAGTGTGATACAGCTCTGCCCAAATGTTTACTAGCTTACCGAGCGTCCGTCCACTCTTCGACCGGTCAGATACCACCTCTTATAATGACGAGCCATGAACTGCGTCTGTCCTCAGCTACTCTGCTGTCGGCATCACTTGAATCTAATCGCATCGATGCATGTACTTCGGCTACAGTCGAGTCTCTTGCGAGCAAACCAGCTGCACAAGCTCACTTACAAATTTCACAGCGCCATCAGAAGGTTTACTTTGACCCAAAGGCCTTCGGAAGTCTGTTCATGTTTGGTGATACCGTCTGACTTAAAGCATTGGTAACATCACTAAGTGTCTTTGTGAAACTCCATCTTCATGGAGAAATAACTGATAATAAATAATGTGTCAGCGGTACGACGTAACGGAGCTGCGCTGCCGCGCGACCATCACCAGTCTCGCGCGGACTGAGTATACCGCGAGGACGCCCACTCCTACTCGGATTCGAACCGGTGACCTTATGATTGCAAGCCAGACGTGCAGACCACTCGGCCACCGGCCGACAGATCGAATCATGCAGCCAGGTACTCCTGGTTCCTCGACGATAGTACACTTCAACAGACTAAGACCAGCGAAAGGATTCTAAAGCACTGCGGGCGGCACCTGTTAGGAGGGCAGCAATGTAACTCAGAGCTCGATATTTGTACCTTCCCGGCGTGACCTTGGTTGCGCACCCTTCATCCTGCGCTCTGGTTACCTCTAGGTTATTCGCCCACTTTCTGATATCGACTTGTCAGCGGACACTCGATATGTTATTTGTTGGTATTGGTTTTTAATAGGTGGATGGGCTTTGAGTTCCAGCCACCTACGTTTTTTTCGTTTTCCATTGCAGGTCCATCGCGACCTACTCTGTGTGTCGGTTACGGAAGAACCTGGAACCTTCGACCCGGACAAATAGTACACCTCGGTTGGACGGCCATTGTTTCTTCCTCTTCTCTTTACCTTCATTTTCGTTTGTTATGGTCTCTTACTGTGGTCGTGATATGAGCATCCATCCACCTACGTGGTACTTATTTTGCATTGCAGCTTCCCAGGTCTATTACGACCTACGTATCTATCGGAAACTGAAGTCCTCGGAATCATCGACTGCACGTTATTACACTTGAGACCCGATTCGCATGTGAAGTCACTTGCAGCGTCACGATAATAACTCCTTCTTCAGCTATATTCGCGTTCAGTGTGCAATGGAAGATGTTGACAGTGGTACTGCGGACATAATTGTTGATGGCGTTGGTGGTTTACCTCAGGTAAAGAAGAAGGATAAGAAAAAGCCGGTTAAAAAAGAAGTTAAACCTGCTAAAGAGGATGCCAAGGAAAAGAAAGTTTCAAAGCAGCTTGCCAAAATCAAGGAGGAAATCGCCAGAAGGAGGGAGGAAGAAGAGCGCGCACGGCGTGAAGCTGAGGAAGAAGAACGGAGGTTAGAGGAGGAAAGGCGGAAGGAGGAGGAGAAAGAAGCTAGAGAACGGGAGTTACGGGAACGTAGGAAGCAAAAGGAGAAAGAGCGAAAACTGAGATTAAAGGAAGAAGGTCGGTTGCTAAGTGAAAAACAGAAAGAGGACCGTCGGAAAGTTCTTGAGCTAATGCAGTCTCGAGGCATAGATGTTCCAAGCGATGTCATGGAGATAGAGAAGAAGAAACCTCAGTATGCAAAATTGAAAAAGCGCGGAACAGCTGCTCAAAAAACAGATGACATTAACGAACCTCAGTTTGAAGACAATGTTACTCTTCAGAGCAGTCCTGATGAGGAAGTAGTGTCTACTTGGGAAATTTTGGCCGATGCGCTGGATAAACGAGTAAATAAGGGTTCTGTTGATAATGGTTATCACGTAAATGACTTTGACGCATCTGCGAACAGTGGACCATTGCGCAGTGAACCCACAGAAACCTTTAGCCACAGTGAGGTTCAGCTTTCTGAGGAGGAGAAGGAACGCCTAATTGAAGCGGCTAAGAACTCTATCAAAGTAAGTTTTTCATTTTTTATAGCTCATTGTTTAAAGGAAAGGCATGCGATTTTCGAGGCGAACCGAAGTGAGGAAAATTTGCGAGCTGGAGTCATTTGCGTCTTGGGACATGTCGATACCGGAAAAACTAAGATCCTAGATAAACTGAGAAATACTCACGTACAAGATCGGGAAGCCGGCGGTATCACACAGCAAATAGGAGCCACGAATGTTCCGTTGGAGAATATCATAGCTGCTACTGCAATGTGTAGCTATTTTCCAGCTAATCGACTTAGACTACCTGGTATGTTGATAATCGACACTCCGGGGCACGAGTCATTCAGGTAAGATCCTATTTTACTGTTTTCATGTTCTAGCAATTTACGAGTCCGTGGATCGTCTCTCTGTGATCTAGCCATCTTAGTAGTTGATTTGATGCACAGTCTTGAAGAGCAGACGAAGGAATCTATCCGCATATTACGTTCTCGTAAGACACCTTTCATAGTTGCTTTAAACAAAATTGATCGATTGTATGGATGGAAATCATCTCCTAATGTCGATGTACAAACAACCTTGGGACTACAGGACTCGATGACGAAGAACGATTTTGACGATCACCTCAGGAAGGTAAGCTTTTCCTATCAACACTTTCACTGCTTCGTAAGTCTAGCCAACTATGATTTCCTAGATATATATAGTGCCCCACGCTGAGACTGATGCTGCATTCATGTTACTTCTTCACCGCAGTTCGGCTAAACAAACTTACACTTAAACTAGGTATTTTAAGCTGGATAAATTTCATTCCACTTTATTTGGTGTGTTCTGCCTATCTGAATAATCTTCTTTTAACTGGCCACGTTGCATACACTAATTGTAGTTATCTACGTTAACTTTATTGCGTTTGTAGCATTTATTGAGTAATTTCTCGACGTTTTGTATTTATCGCGGATTCGTTGCTAATCGGCATACTTCATATGCTAATTGAGAGAAGAGTTATGTGTGCATAGCCGTATTCATTAACAGCTATATTTTATTTGATAATGTCATTTCAAGTGATTTGCTGTTTTTTAACATCCCCGGTGTAGCTGCGTTTGATGTGCTTGATGACAAGGTGCCTACCTGTCTATTACCCACTACCTCGTCCATACTGGCTCCAGGAGACAGTTGGTCGTTGCTGGAGGGGACGGGGTGCACGGTCCTTGTGGTCGTGCTAGGCTCGAAGAGTGGTTCCATGCCACTCAGTGTGGAGCGGACTACGGTCCAGCCACCGCCTTGTGTGCACTTGATTCCCCAAATACAGCGTGTTTGTGTTTGTCTGTGAAGGAGTGTGGGCCGGCTCCGTTGATGAAACGTGGCTCTCATCCGCATGCCTCCCGGTCTTATTCCTTCGGGTTTACACTGGATATGGGGTGTGTGGTTGGAGCTGTGGGTGTTGCAGCGCAAGCTATCCATGGTCCCTCTGTAGGCGCAGGCGTCCTGTGGCTGACCACAGTGACAGGCAAATACGAAACCGGATGCCGCCAACCATATATATATATATATATATATATATATATATATATATATATATATATATATATATATATATATGGTTGGCGGAGTACGATTCTCGGTTTGCTTGTCACTGTGGCCTCCACGGGACAGCCACTGGACGCCTGCGCCTACAGAGGGACCATGGGTGGCTTACGCTGCACCATCCACACACCCGATATCCACTTTAAACCCGAAGGAATAACACCGGCAGGCATGTGTATGGGGGGCACTTTTCATCAACAGAGCCGGCCCACACAGACAAATACAAGCACGCTGTATTTGGGAATCAAGCACACACAAGGCGGTGGCTAGACCGCAGTCCGCTCCAAACTAAGTGCATGAAACCACACTTCGAGTCTAGCACGGTCATGAGGACCGTGCACTCCGTTCTCTTCAGCAGTGACCAACTGTCTCCTGGGGCCAGTATGGACAAGGTAGTGGGTAATAGACAGGTAGGCACGTTGTCAACATGCACATCGACCACAATCACACCGGGGATGTCAAGCAACAGATGATCACATGAATGAAATGTCGAATGAAATAAATCGAATACACCGTATGAATGTGGCGCTAAATTAGCGTATGCCATAAATGTATTATCAAAATAGCTGTGATAGATACAGGGCTGAAGAAAAACGGATCAAGGCACATGTGTAAGAAGCAAAGGCAATGTTACCACCTTTAAGCGAAATCTGCAATTTAATAGACTATTCAGGTATACATTGTTATGAGGTAACAAAATAACACTTAGATAAAGTACCAAACTAACCGCCTGAAATAAAGAAACTCAGAACGCAAGCACGCGCTTAGTAAATCAAATGCAGTGTGCCTACGAACGCTGCGCCGGTTCTGATTACCTTCTCAGCAGGACGCCGTCGTTTCGATGCTGGTCCTGAGTGACCTCGCTCGTGGCTCACTAGGCCTGCCTGACTCAGGTACTCGCGACCGCATGTTCTACAGCACCATGCGCTCGACATCGATGAAGTACAGCCCATCGGCGCCTGCCGCTTGCGCAATTTCCGCCTTCTCTGCATGCACGAGAACTTTCTCTTGCACCTCGGAAACTGCCTTCGTGATTAGATCGTGTCATGCACGCCGATCAACCGCCTTCGATTCCCATGACCTACAACCAAGATTAGATCGTGAGGCTCACTTTGATCATATCCTGGTGACGTAACTTCGGTTTCCCCACGTGCCGTTTCCCAGCACTCAGTTGACCATAAACCAGCTGTTTTAGTATCCGGGTCGAATCCATGCGGCAAATATGCCCGAACTACCTCAGGTGCCTAAGCAGAAGTATGCATTCACTCATACATGCCACTGCGTCGGAACACCTCCGTATCTGCAACTCGGTCACTTCAGCTGACTCGCATAATACGGCACAGACACTGCTGATGGTAGCGCTCCAGATAACAAACATACTTCCGATAAAACCTCCAGGTTTCGCTGCGGTATAGAAGAACGGACAACACCATAGACTTACATACTAGCAGCTTCGTCTCAACAGTGAATTGGTGGTTGTTCCACACACGGCATTCCAGCTTGCCAAAAGTAGCAGCCGCCTTCAATACGCGGCTGCGCAGTTCTCTCGTCATCTGCTGATCGGTTGTTAATACTCTACCAAGGTGGCAAAATATCGAAGTGATTACCAACACTTCGTCGGCAATCTGGATTTGTGGCAGGCCCACGGACTCCGTTCCTGGTGTAGGCTGGAAAAGAAAAACGGTGTTGTTTGTGTCGATGGTGAACCCGAACTTGACTGCTGTCGAAGCCAGAGCACTAGTCATGTGCTGCAACTCATCCGCGCTGTAC